CTCATGAATAAATAAATAAAATCTTAAAAAAACAATAAACAAAAAACCAAACGAATAGGGCTTATCTGGTGAGATTTCTATACTCATAAAACTGAGAATTTGTGCTTGTCTCCTATTTTATTGATGTTTATTTAGTCCTTTAGATTTTGTGAAAACAATTTTTAGGTTTTTAAATAATGGTAATATTTTCAACAGTTAGGTGTAATAGAAAGAAGATGAGACCCACAGCAGACCGGGGGTTCTAGCTCCAGATCTCCCATTTGCCAGCTGTGGTACTTCGGGCAAATCATACAGAATTGGATTTTTTTTAACATAAAGTATGTGGCTTTGGATTTTTTTTTAACATACAGTATGGTGGTTGGATCATGAATGTAGACAGGAAAATGCTAGTGACCTCAACAGTCATTATTACAAATACAATATCAGATTCTGTAAGTCCACAGTCATGGTTAGGCTCGTAAGCTTTAATGAGTTACTTGGCAGTCTGGTTCAAATACAAGTCCATCCCTTATAAGCAGTATGACCTTACACAGGTTGTTCAGCTTCTCTAAACTTTATTCTTTAAAAAAAAAAAAAGTTGTAGCATTATAGTGTGGATCAAAAGAGCTAATGTGGGGATGCCTGGGTGGCCCAGTGGTTGGGCGCTTGCCTTCGGCTCGGGTCGTGATCCCAGGATCCAGGATTGATACCCTGCGAGGAGCCAGCTTCTCCCTCTGCCTGTATCTCTGCCTCTCTCTCTGTTTGTGTCTCTCACAAATAAATAAATAAATCTTAAAAACAAAACAAAACCCAAAAAACAAAACGAAAAAAAAAACAAACAACCTAATGTGGCCAAAGTACTTAGTGGTGTGCTAGGTATGTGTGAAGGGTTCTACAGATGTTAGCTGACAATACTATATTAATTACTGGTAATATTATAGGGTATATTTTTCCTATGAAATATTTTATAATGTAAGAAATACCACTAATATATAACCAAATTAGAAAAATTATTTCATGAAAACTAGAAAAGATAAAAATGATTCTAAAACAGCACAGAATGGTAGCTGAACATCTTTTTTGGGGAGGGTCATGGATGGATCCCTTGGCAACCTAGTAACAGACTCCAAAAAAAAAAAAAAAAAGCACAGATATATTTGCAGATAAAAATGTTTCAAGAAGTGCATGGACTTTCATGTCTATTCTTAGATGTCTGTCCTAGGTTAGGAAGCCATGATCAGGACCAATGGTTACAAACAAGGGGGTAGAGGGGCTGAATTGCACCTGCAGACATGTTCTGTCAATGTAAATGCACCTAACGAATGTGATTTCATTAGCATACCATAATTCCTTCCATACTCTCGTATTAATCTCAGCCACCTGTACTTTTTTGGGTTAGCTGCCCTGACCTCTGTAGGCCTCTGAGTTTGTGACCCTTGCTCTACACCTTTCAGAAGCTACTAGTAGGACTTATACAGGCATACCTTGTTTTATTGCATTTCCCAGATACTTTTTACAAATTGGAGGTTTGTGGCATCCCTGCAGTTGAAGAAGTCTATAGGCACCATTTTTCTAATAGTATTTGCTCACTTCATGTCTCTGTGTCACATTCTGGTAATTCTCACAATATTTCAAACTTTATTATTATTTTTTCTTATGGAGACCTTTGATGTTACTATTGTAATTGTGCTGGAAACCATGCCCATACAAGATGCCAAACTTAATTGATAACCAATGTTGTACGTGCTCTAACTCCTCCAATGACTGGCCATTCCCCCATCTTTCTCCCTTTCCTCTGGTCTCCCTATTCCCTGAGCTACAAGAATACTGAAATTAGGCCAATTAACCCCAGAACAGCCTCTAAGTGTTCAAGTGAAAGGAAGAGCTGCACATCTGTCACTTTAAATCAAAGCTAGAAATGATCAAGCTTAGGGAGGAAGGCATGTTGAAAGCTGAGAGAGGCCAAAAGCTAGGCCTCTTTTGCCAAACACTCAAGTTGTGAATGCAAAGGAAAAGTTCCTGAAGGAAATGAAAACTGCTGTGCCAGTGAACACATGAATAAAAAAGCAAAACAGCCTGATTGCCGCTGATATGAGGAAGTTTTCCTGGTCTCGACAAAAGATCACACCAGCTACAATACTCCCTTAAGCCAAAGCTAATCCAGAACAAAGCCCTAACTCTTCAATTCTATGAAGGCTGAGACAGGTAAGGAAGCTACAGAAGAATAGTTTGAAGCTAACATAGGTTGTTTCATGAGGTTTGAGGAAAGAAGCTGTATACATAACATTGGAAATGAAAGATGAAGTAGCAGGTGAATGATGTAGAAGCTGCAGCAAGTTATCCAGAAGATCTAGCCTAGAGAATTCCTAAAGGTGCTACACTAAACAACAAATTTTCAGTGTGGATGAAAGAGCCTTATTGTGGAAGAAGATGCCACCTAGGACTTTCACAGCTAGAAAGGAAAAGTCAATGCCTGCCTTCAAAGCTTTCAAGGACAGGCTGACTTCTTTTAGGGGCTAATGCAGCGGGTAGCTTTATGTTGAAGCCAATGCTGACCATTTTGAAAATCCTTGGAATAATCCTTGAGAATTATGCTAAATCTACTTTGCTTATCCTCTGTAAATGGAACAAAGCTTGGATGACAGCACGTATATTTACAACATGGTTGACTGAATGTTCTTTTTTTTTTTTTTTTTGACTGAATGTTCTAAGCCCACTATTGACACCTATAACTCAGGAAAAAAAAAATTCCTTTCAAAATATTACTGCTCACTGGGGGAACCTTGCTGGCTCGGTTGGTAGAGCATGCAACTCTTGACCTAGGGGTCATGAGTTCAAGCCCCTGTTGGGCACAGATTATTTAAAAATAAAACAAAACGAACAATATCTAATTATATATATATAAACTGCTCACTGACAAGGTACCTGGCCACCCAAGAGCTCTGATGGAGATGTACAACAAGATTAATATTATTTTCATGTCTGCTAACACAACATCCATTCTGCAGCCCACAGATCAAGGAGTCATTTTGACTTTCAGGTTTTACTATTTAAGAAATACTTTCTGTAATGCTATAGCTGCCATACACGGTGATTCTTCTGATGGATCTGTGCAAAGTAAATTAGAAACCTTCTGGAAAGGATTCACCATCCTAGATCCCACTAAGAACACCCGTGATTTGTGAGAAGAGGTAAAAGTACCAACATTAACAGGTTGGGCGGTTGGGAGAAGATAACCTAAGGGGTTAAGGACTTCAGTGGAGGAAGTAAATGCAGATGTAGAAATAACAACAGAACTAGAATTAGAAGTGGACCCTGGGGGCACCTGGGTGGCTCAGTGGTTGAGCATCTGCCTTGGGCTCAGGGTGTGATCCCAGGACCCGCAGGGAGCCTGCTTCTCCCTCTGCCTATGTCTCTGCCTTTCTCTCTGCCTCTCTCATGAGTAAATAAATAAAATCTTAAAAAAAAAAAAAAAATGGAGCCTGAGATGTGCCTGAGTTGCTACAAGTTCATGATAAAACTTGAACAAATGAGGAGCTGCTTCTTATGGACAAGCAGAGAGAGCAGCTTGAGATGGAATATACTCTTGGTGAAGACACTGTGAAGATTGTTGAAATGACAACAAAGAATTTAGAACTTAGTTGAGGAAGGAGCAGTAGGGTTTGAGAGGGCTGACTCCAATTTTTTTTTTAATTTTTATTTATTTACAATAGTCACAGAGAGACAGAGAGAGAGAGAGAGGCAGAGACACAGGCAGATGGAGAAGCAGGCTCCATGCACCGGGAGCCCGACGTGGGATTCGATCCTGGGTCTCCAGGATCGCGCCCTGGGCCAAAGGCAGGCGCCAAACCGCTGCGCCACCCAGGGATCCCCTGACTCCAATTTTGAAAGAACTTCTACCATGGGCAAAATACTGTCAAACATCATTGCATGCTATAGAGAAATCATGCATGAAAGAGTCAGTCGATGTGGCAAACATCTTATTTTTAAAAACTGGTGTGGCTTCCCCAACCTTCAGCAATCACCACCCTACCCTGATCAGTCCACAGCCATCAACATGGAGGGAGGACCCTCCACCAACAAAAAGACTGACTTCCTGAAAGCTCAGATGAGCAATAAAGTATTTTTAAATTAAGGTACGTACATTTGCTAGACATATGCTACTGCACACCTAACAGACTACAGTGTAATGGAAATGTGACTGTTACATGCCCTGGGGAACCAAAAAATGCATTCCACTCATGTTATTGTTATGGTCTAGAACCGAATCATTGTATCTTCACGGTATGGCTGTACTACAGAAGCATGCTGAAAGAGGCTCACAAGATAAAAACCAGACATTTCCCTGATTCCCTTGCAATTAGTGGTCCTACATGTAACAGGTTCTGCAGTAAATATGAGATTTGAGAAGTAAGAGTAACATAGAGGTGGTGGCCACAAGTAAAACAATCAGATTTTCTACAAGGAAGAAAGCAAAAGCCTCTGGTTTTTCTAGGCACCTGGGGCAAGTAATCTAGATCTATTCCAAGAGTTGGCTAATTAAGGCCTAAATCTGGCCCACTATCTGTCTTTGTAAATAAAGTTCTACTGGAACACAGCCATGCTTGCTCATTTTATATATCTATGGCTGCTTTTGGCTACAAAAGCAGAGAAGAGCAGTTTTGACAGAGACCATATGGACAAATAAAGTCTAAAATTTTTACAATCTGGCACTTTCCCGAAAAAGTTTACTGACCCTTGGTCTCATCTCTAGATGTGAAGTGGTGGGTGGCAGCTATAGTAAAGTAAGGTTTTCTCATTGTGTAGCTTCTCCTAGTTATAATGTTTCTGGTTTGGTAGCATCCTAGTTTAACTCGCTGGCCCTTCTATAAATTTTATAAGGTACCTAATACCATGTAATAAATCCCTTTCTGGTGAAAATAGCTGGAGTATTTTCTATTGCTGCAACCAAAATCCCTGAAAGAAACACAGAGTAACAAAAAAACAAAGAATTAGGCCATAAAGTTTAAAAATGTACTTACATTATGTATCATCTCGAAGTACTTCTGACAGGCTACTTGGTAATGTGTCCCTTTTACTAAATCCAAAATCTAAAATGAATGGGAAAAAGAGAAAGCAAAATTAGAAACTGAGTTTCTCTAAACCACTGTAGCTCATGGTTGTTGGCCTTTGCATAATCTTTATTCTAGACAGGAAGTACACTAAATCATGGAACATGCTGTACTTCTGCAGCCTGGACACTGTGTGATAATTTTGACATTATACAGTAGCTGTTTAGGTCAGTATTAAACCACAGATGATAAGAGATAGTAAGTGATCTTTCTGACCTACCAACTATGAATTTCAATAACTTTACCTTGACAACAAGATGAAAATAGATCCCAGTATTATGACTTTGACAGTTATTGTCAGAACATCATATTGCAACATCTCTTCCAAAATTATAGATATAAATCTAGTAATCTAAATGACTGGTGCATAAAGCAATCAAGTATACTATTTTGATTATTTTTACTTTCCATATTACCAATTTATACAGATACAGCCTAAAGTACAGCTGTGTACCCATCAGGAAAATTTAATGTAAGCCCTTTGGACGAGTATCTTTGGAGAGGGAATGCTTTTACCTTTAATCAGATTTGTTCTTTTTTTGAAATAAAGTTATTTCTAGTAAAGCTCAGCAGAATATGAGAGTGAATAGTCTATTCTGGACACCTATTAGGAACATCATCCTATCTTTTGTAAATACAATTTGCTTTCCAATTCTACTTCATGTAATCTCTTCAGAGCGGTACAAACTTCTGTTCTTATCAGCCAAGTGCAATGCCAGCTGAAATTTGTAAAGTTTCATCACCCCCCACCTACCAAATAAATAAAATGTATATTTGGCCTGCTTATCAAACACAGTAAAATGCTGGAATTAAGAGATAGCCTAAAATGAAGGGAAACAGAATTCTAGGGAAATGTTCATTTCTATCCCTTTTCAAACGGCTGACCTTCCTGCGACAAGAAATGTACGTGAAGCCTCAAATTCCTGCTATCCTCATTATTGAATATAGCTTACATCTTTTGACAGATACACAAAATTATTACAGTTACAGAGTGAGCATCGTACAATCCTGACAAGAATGTGCTTAAAAGAACAGCTTTTCTCTGATTGTCTTATAGATTACATTTCTCAATTTCGGCTTTTTATTAAATCCTATATGAAAGGCCTATGTAAATGCCAGTCAATCACAGCACCCAGGATCCTGCCTATTTGACCTGTCCATTGTTCTTGAATTATTAGATAGGAATGAAAAATCAATTTAAAATAAATGGCTACAAATTTTTTAAAATGAAGAAAGCCACAAAGTTTTCAAAGTAATTCTAATACTCCAAGCTCATATTCTCCAAAGCCTTTACACAGATATTCAAATTGTGTTGAGATGAACTTGCAATGGGTTATTGGCAAACAGCAGTGATACCATGAAGGACTATCTGTGAACTGCAATTTTTAAGAAAAGACTTCAAACTCTAGTTAAGTTTAAATGATACCACAAATTACCTGAGGAGAAAATGAATTCACAGAAATAAACAAAAAGCTCAATTGTGTGGTATATAATAAAGCTCTTTAATGTAAAAACAAAACAATGAATCCAATATCATATTCTCTGTATATACATATTCTTGATATATATATATATTTATAGATGAACTTAAATACATATATTTAAACATGTTCCTTGCAAAGTAAACATAACATTATATACATATATTCTAATCTATATGTTTGTGAAACATGCTATAATGTTAATACTTATAAGAAACATTTAAAAAATGTTGGGGTGACTGGCTAACTCCATTAGTAAAGTGTGCAACTCTTGATCATGAATTCAAGCCCCATATTGGGCATGGAGCCTACTTTCAAAAAATAAACACAAATTAAAAAATAAAAATAAAAAATATCTAGTTGGGCGACATACACATATGTAAAAAGTTACTATGGAAAACTGACATATAAGCCACAGAATGTAAGAAAATCTTGGGTATTGTGAAATTTCAGGTTCCATCAAAATTAAATTTAGATTAATCACAGATCAATACCTCCTGCTCCCAGAGAAGGGTCTTCCTTAACCAAAATCATTTAATTTTCCTTTTCCCTTTTGCTTTATCTTTCTAGAATGAGGTTTTATTTGGAAATTTCTTGCAAATCTAGAAATAAATCATTCAACCATCATCCATCTTTAAATAATTTTGCTGATAATGTTACAGCATACTTGAGGTAAATGAAAGTTTCTGAGCATATGTAATGGTATAATGGGGGAAAAAGACAATAGAGTGCTTTTCATTAGATGGAAAAGCTATTCAAAGACAGACATATTTAGGCCTACAAAGAGGATCTAGGGAAAGAAGAAGAAAATCAAGTAATGGAAATATAGGGACAATAAATGAACTAATAGAAAAAAAAATCCAAGAGAAAGACTACTTTGAGGAGATTAGGTATTACTGGCAGGTATTATCCTCATTTCAGAGAGGAAGAAATATATCCTCTTAAAATAGGGAAGTCTATCTAATGAGTGCCATTTACTGTGAGAAGAATTTAAAAATCCTATGCAATTTATTATTTTGTTTTCCTTAAGAGGACTATGTGAAACATAACTCAAAAACTTCAATAGCTAATAAACATATGTATTTGAATTTAACATTATAATCGAGATCATAGAGATAAAGGAAGAGGAAAAAAAAAAAGGAAGAAAGAGCAGGATCTTGTGGACCAATAAATGAAGTCTGGCTTTTTTCTTTGAGTAAAATGCAGAACTACTACAATGTTCTTAGCATGGGAGTAACATGACCTAATATTCTGTCTACTATGCTGGGAACAGACTAGAGTAGGGATGCAAACAGGGAGTTCATTACAAGAATCCAGCAAATGAATGATGTTGGCTTAGGACAGGGTGATAAGAGTAGTGGTTAGAAGTGGTTGCATTCCCCACTTACTGGCTGTAACTGTTTTTGAAAAACAGCTGTTCTACACAAAAATGCTCAACCAAAACCTATTCCCTGATGTTTTAGAGTAGTTCACGACCTGTCACTCAACCCCTCTCCTCTCCAACTGATTTCCTAAATAAATCTAAGTAGTTTAAAATCTCAGTAAAATGCAGTATGTAACAAACTATCATGAAAAATAAATGCAGAATACTAAAAATACCACTTACTAGTCACTAAACAATATGCTTACACAATAGCCTGTGAGTAGGACATGTAAAGTGTCTCAAAGGTTCAGCAACACCTTAGATGTACACCCCCTCCTCAGACTTCAAAATATTCAGCAAGTGATTCTGATGTTGTATCATTTATATATGAAGTACACCTCAGGACTTTTCCTGCACCTAGTTTTCCCTAACTTTTCTGATATAAACCTCACTAGCAAATGCTATACTAAGATAGTATATAGGTATGTTGAGGATGGTACTGGTATAATTTGTTGATGGGTTGGATGACTCCAAGACAGGAAATACAAAGCTAAAAATCAAGAGAAAGAGAATTGAGGGATCAGCAATACACCCAAAATCAGTTTGTGAAATAGAAGCAAAAATAGAAACTTGGCAAAGAAACACCAAAATCCAAGGACAGATGCCTGAGGTAGACCGTGGAAAAGAATTAGGGGTCAGGAGGTATGGTCTCACAATGTTTTACATATCCTTGGAAAGACTGCTTTTCTGAAGGTGGACCACTTGTGTGTTAATGGACAGATGCTGAAAATGCTCACTGCTAAGTCACTAAGGCTAGACAGGGATGGTTAAGCACTGATGGTTGACATGCAAGAGGATTGTGATTACTGAGCCATTCTTGTTCTTTGAAATTCAGGGTCTTAGCAATGGTTGGGTTCATTTAGAATTTATATTTTGTGTGTAGTCATAATTCAAGTAATCTCTTTTTTTCTTTTTTTTTTTTAGAAGTGCTAAGTTTTAACAGAAGAGCACATGTCCCAGGCCATTGGACCTATATGCTTGACTTGTAGCCAGACTACTGTGAACCCGAGAAAGATTTAGGGTTTAAAACCAAAAGTGGTGTGCTTTTCTTTGAAACTAAAATTTTTCTTTGATGTTTTCAAGAATGAAGAAATATTGGCTGTGGCAATATTTTATAATGTGTCAATTTTGAACTTATATACCTAACTTTGTTCTTGTTTATTTGTTAAAGATATGCTTTTGGGAGGCACCTGGGTGGCTCAGTGGTTGAGTGCCTGCCTTCAGCTGAGGTTATGATCCTGGGGTCTTGGGATCGAGTCCCACATCAGGCTCCCTACAGGGAGTGTGCTTCTCCCTCTGCCTGTGTCTCTGACTCTCTGTGTCTCTCATGAATAAATAAATAAAAATCATTAAAAAAAATGCTTTGGGGAGGGAGAGGCACATGGGGAGCTAGTTCATAATGTGCTTGTTTACATATATGTTTTTTGTGTTGGAATATTTAAAAGACATTACATTTTTTTTAAAGATTGTATTTATTTGAGAGAAGGAGAGAAAAGAGAGAGAGAGAAAGAGAGGGACAAGCAGATTCTACACTGAGCACAGAGCCTGATACAGGGCTTGATCCCATGACCCTGAGATCATGACCTGAGCCAAAATCAAGAGTTAGGTGCTCAACTGACTGAGCCACCCAGACACCCTGACAGTCAAATTTTTTAAAGAAAATAAAATTCTGTAGAGAAGCTAGAATGAACATGTAGTTAGGCAACAGTACTTATTGACAGTGTTTGTTTTGCCAGATAGATTCTCAAGGTCAAACCTCCATCCTCCTAAACTGGCCTCTCTGCTCACAAGCTCCACAAGGCTGGAGTTCAGCAGACACAGACTGGCCAAGGTCAGAAATAAAACAGGTGACGGAAACTCATCAAGAGGAAAAAATATAAGGAGGAGACAAAAAGAAACATACAGGAAAATGAAAGGACCAGGTAGAAGAAAAATGTAGAAAGCCAAAGGGATGAGGTTAAATGAAACGGGAGTCCACAGCTTACTATTTTACATGGCCTATAAACATCAAAGTATAACCTACAGCTCACAAAAGGTGTTTCGTATTCCATTCTGGAAGAAAGAAGCACACCACA